CGTGCGTGCGGCATCCACGTGTCGTAGACTGTGTTGTTACAATTGCTCCACCTGCCAGGGCTCAGCGCTGAATCGGCTGAAGGTGCTTAAGGGTTTAGGGTTTAGGGTTTTAGGGTTTTAGGGTTTAGGGACTTTGGGTTCGGAGAGTGTTTTGCAATTTCCTAGATAGGATTCCGGGGCTTGCAGTGCTGGGGGTTTAGTCTCGAAATGTCTAGAAGTGAATCTGTTTTTTCTCATTCTTGCGCAGCGCGGATCCTGCAGGATACGCCATCACCTTCGGCGAGACGGCGGTGCTGCACATAGGCCGGAGTATCTGAGCATTCTTGACACGCCGCAGATGACTGACCTAACCGCATCCCTTAAAGAAACCATACCCGCTTAGAGCCCTAAACCCTAAACCCTAAAACCTACCAGTTGCTAGTTCTGGCTGCCGACTCGTCATGAACTAACCCTGCAGTCGAGCGAACTTGGCCTTTGAGTTTAGGCTTCCAAGCTCCGCCCGCATGGCTCGCTGTCCTTCTGCAAGTTGAGAGAAGTGCAGAGATCACAAGACTCCTGGCTGAAGCCCAAACTTACAAGTCTCCCAGAGACTCCAATATCCCTTAATTAAGGAATATACCTTAAATTATAGTAGGATCCTTAATATGATTTAAGGTATATTCCTTAATTAAGGGATATTGGAGTCTCTGGGCTTTCTCCCGATTCTATCGAGGCGGCGAAGAAGTTGGTGCTGGTGCGAGGCAGGGGGGGGATTTAACTAGATCCGAGGCGTTGGCACGCTGCCGGCAATTTCTAGTTCGTTTGTATCTGCATCTGTTGCGGGTTGTATGCCGTGGCCCATTCTGGCATATTCTGGCATGATTTTGCCTTTTGTATGACTGACTCACCTCTTGTGTCTATTGGCTTCCGGGCTTGGGGTTTAGGGCTTACCCATGGGCCCCATAGTAGTTCCTTTTTGGGTTTACCTTATAGGATTAAAAATATGAACCCCAAAAAGGAACTACTATGGGGCCTATGGGTAGGGCTTATAAGGTCAGGATTGGATGCCTAACTAATCGTAGCTAATCTGGTTAAAGTTGCGCGTGGCGTGCGGAAGACTATCAGGTCCCCTGGCAGGTTGTGCAAAGTAATAAACTGCTTTCAGTGCTTAGTTTTTTGTGGTCGTGTCTTGTCGCTGTTGGGTCTGGGTTGTGTCAGGTTTGAGCTGATACCGCACTACAAATCGCGCTATTCCTCCATGTCTCTGTTGCATGTGGCAGGTGCCGGTAGCAAGGGCGTTGAGAGATGCACAGGCGACAGGTGCAGATTGACGAGACGAGCAATTGGCATTCCGACTGTCGTGGCGACTAAAAGCCGGGGGGATCCAGCTATATCTGGCACCCTAAACCCTAAACCCTAATACCCTAATACCCTAAACCCTAAACCCTAAACCCCAATACCCTAAACCCTAATACCCTAAA